CTAAAAATAACCTTTTTCAACATTTGAAGCAGAATAAGCAGAATATCAACACAACAATCTTCTGAGTTGAACTTGTTTCATAATGAATGCACTTGACTGAGAAACTTGAATGAGAAAATAATTTATGCCCAAATTAACAAATCAGCATTGATGATGGTCATGTTTAAAACTGGGTTAAATGCAACTGGGTTACTCACCCAATATAATGGTCAGATCCACTTCAGTGCAGACATTTATTCCTGATTTATTATCTCCACATGGCCCAGAATCCCGTTTTCTCAGATCTCCGATGGTGAAAACTGCTGTTCTTTTGTTGTCATTCAGAGAGAATCTTCCAACCTCAGCCCATTCATATTCAGTATTAGTCTTGTCTGTGCTCTCTGACCACAGTACTTTACAAAAATATTTTTCTTTTGCTTTGTCGTTGCTATCATATGTGCATGTCATGTTGACTTTATGCCCTGAATTTCCAGCCAAACCGACTGAGGTCATGGTACCTACAAAACAAAGTGACTTAACAAATTTCTCATGAAGTTTAAATGAGATCAACATTCAATATTCTCACCAGGAATCAGCAGCAGAGTGAAAGTCCAGATGATCTTCATTATTGACTCTCATTCAGTGATCTTCTCTGTTGTTAGTAGATTCAGTTCTTCTGAAGCTCTCGATGTGTGTTTCAGGTGGTGTTTCTGTCATGAATGTGATGAGATGCAGACTTCCTCCTTTATATTAACCAAAAAAAAAAAGAAACTGTACAGAAGAAAGCCAAACACAGAACTGCTGACTTATTTATGCATGTTTTCCTGTGTGTTCCACACGTCATGAGTTCCCCTTTGTTTCCCTTGAGGCATTTGAATGAAAAAAAAACAAAAAAGTACATTAGTGACATGAAGAAGTAAGTCGACACACTTCTCACACTTACACTTTACTTCCCTTGTCATGTATTCAAACAGCTTCGATTTCCACATTCAGTTCTGCATAAACGACTGAAAACAGAAAACACACTCACTTTAAAATATTGATAATATCAATAAAATATTGCTAAATCACTTAGGATTACAGTACAATTCAAATATTACGCTACATTTATGATTAAGCAAACATATTTACCTGATGAGCAAATACAAACAGATGAGGAAACACACCAGTAATTTATCAGGAGCCAATAACCACTAAAGAAGAAGTGAAACAGTACAACAGAAGTTTCGTATAAAATAAAAATGTGTTTAATATTGCACATTAATTCATTTGTCCATAAACTGGTTTGCATGTATTATGTTTTGAATCTGTATCCTGTTAAACCCAGATGAGACGCAAAGCTGTGAAGCTCTTATGTGTTTGCATTTGTTTTTATGTTTTTCTGAGTCTGTTTCCTTATCATTTAAATAGTCAAACAAAGCACTCTGTGTTGAGAGCTGCTGCCTGGCATGGCAAAAACCCAACTGTTCAACTATGCATAATATATGGAAATCCATATGATAAGTTGAGCCACTGCCTGCATTTCACATGAACAAACAAATAATATACAAATAACATCAGTAAAGAGCATTATATATCATACAGCTGCAAACATCCTCCGAACTTTATATGCATCTACAAAAGTTAACATCTTTAGGAAAATCAAAGGACTGACTGTCTACATCTATTCTACAATAAAGAGAGAGAGAGAGATGCATGTAGTTTTTATTATATAAATATATATATATTAGATTCAATGTAAACACTATGCTTTGGCAATACATTGTAACAATTGTCATGCCAATAAAGCATATATTGAATT